AAAGAATGTACACTGATACAGATAAGAGCTCATGACACATGAAATCCAGGTTAGATAAACCCCTCAGGAACAGATATGAGAGTAGCAATAACCAGAAGATGGAGAGAAGAAGGAGGAACCAATCGCAAAGATGGACACATATCTACAACCCCACCCCTGAGGGCGATGAACAACAAAAACCAGGGGGAAGGGAGACAATGGTCAGTGTTAAGATTTGAAAATAATAATTTATAATTTATCAAGGGGTCATCAGGGTGGGAGGGGGCACGGAGGGTACAAAGATGAGCTGATACCAAAGGCTTAAATCGAAAGTGATTGTTTAGAAAATAATGATGGCAACATGTACAAATATGCTTGATACAACTGATGTATGGATTGTTAGAGCCAGCCCAATAAAATGACCTTAAAAAAAGAAAAAGTACACTGCATGTGTGTAACACTAGTCCAGCTGACACGCAGCGCAGCCATCATGTCTCTTGGTTCCCCCAAGCTAGGTGGGAGGTCTAGGTGGAGCACAGCGAGAGGCGAGAAGGTCTGCATACATGTGCACAGGGCACTGTGCTCAAGGTCCAGGGACTTCCCTAGATGCTAAGGTAAGGAACAAGTCCTACCTTTGTAGTCATGGACTTATTTAATGTCTCTGAAAGTCTCTTAAAAAAAAATCACTCCTTGTTTTTCTCAGCCCTTATATATTCTTGAAAACTTTAAAACTTCAAAAGGAAAAGCAAACACATAAACAAAAAGTCTCATGTTAGATTTATTGCACAATGTTGTTGCTGTTACATGTTGTCAAGTTGATTTCAACTCATAGCAAACCTATAAAATAAGAGTAGAGCCACCTCAAGGGGTTTTCAGGGCTGTAAACTTCATGCGACCAGACCTCCTGCCACATCTTTCTCCTGTGGAGTGGCTAGTGGTTAGCGGCCAAAAGTTTAATTACTGTGCCACCATGGCTTTATTTCACAGTATCACAATTAAAACACAATTTTTACTACATAAGGCCAATGTGCTCCTTACCTTTTATTCCTATAAAAACTCAAAACTCCAAAGCCCATCTATAGGCAATTGGACATCCCCTTACCAAAGGGTCACTGGGAGGAGACAAGCCAGTCAGGATGCAGCGTAGCACCGATGAAACATACAACTTTCCTCTAGTTCCTAAATTATTCCTGCCCCCCACTATCATGATCTCAATTCTACCTTAAAAATCTGGCTAGGCCAGAGAATGTACACTGCTACAGATAGGAACTGGAAACACAGGGAGTCCAGGGCGGGTGATCCCTTCAGGACCAGGGGTGAGAGTGGCGATTCCGTGAGGGTGGAGGGAAGGTGGGTTAGAAAGGGAGAACCGATTACAAGGTTCTACATATAACCTCCTCCCTGGGGGACAGACAACAGAAAAGTGGGTGAAGGGAGAAGGCCGACAGTCTAAGATGTGACAAAGTAATAATTTATAAATTATCAAGGGTTAATGAGGGAGGGAGGGGGAGGGAGGGGGAAAAATGAAGAGCTGATGCCAAGGGCTTAAGTGGAGAGCAAATGTTTTGAGAATGATGAGGGCAACGAACGTACAAATGTGCTTTACATAATTGATGTATGTATGGATTGTGATAAGAGTTGTATGAACCCCCAATAAAATGATAAAAAAAAAAACGTCAAAAACATCAAACTGTTATTGAGTTGATTCCAACTCACAGTGACCCTATAAAGGCAGGGTAGAACTGCCCGTGTGGATTTCTGAGGCTATAACTCGTTACTAGCGTAGAAAGCTTTATCTTTCTTCCTGGGAGCAGCTGGTCATTTCAAACTGTTCACCTTGTAGTTAGCAGTCCAAGATGTAACCACTATACCAGCAGGACTTCTATATTCCTGTTTTTATTCCTATAGAGATAAAAATTATACATGTTTCTTCTAGGCACTAGATCACAATAACACATTTTGAAAGATTTAAAGTACCTACCAAACTTTGATGTAAAAATCATCTGAGAAACCTTAATTCAAATGATAATTCTACTTAGTAGGTCTAGCCTAAAGCAGCATTGCCAACGAGCGCAAAGGTGATGAGAATGAACACTGTTGGTCTGAGTATCACGGAGTTTAAAACACTCGGAGTCTACATTAAAAATGTGGTACAACAATTTATATTTAATAAAGCATGAAGAAAAAATCCCGTAACCTCAAGGATTCATTGTTTTACGATATGGTATCATTTAAAATAAGAGGTATTTTAGTTCCCCCTAGTGATGACTGTCCAGCATGACCAGGCTCAAGAGCACACTAATCCATCCACCAAACTCAGGGATTCTTGGCTGCCAATAGATACCACGTCAATATTTAATTGGGGCTAGGGTCTCACGTCATAGTGACCCTGAATGGAGAGTAGAACTGCCTCTGTGGGTCTCCTAGCCCATGACCCTCCCCAAGAGTAAAGATCCTCCTCTTTCTCTCTAGGAACAGTTAGTAGTTTCAAACTACTGACCTTGCAGGTAGCAGCCCAGTGAGTGACGCATGATGCCCACCAGGTCGCTGTGAGTCAGAAATGACTTAATGGCAGGAAGTCTGGTTTTTTGGTTTGGAGGGAGCTAAATTTATCTTGGGTTGTATAATTCAGACTCAGATAATGGTAATAAGAAAACCATGGGAAAGGAAAAGGCATTCTAACATGTCTCTGAGAATTACATGAAAGGACCCCAGGTGATTATGTCAGTTAAGTGGTGGGCTGCTAGCCCCAAGGTCAGTGGTTCAAACCTAAGAGCTGCTCTACTTGAGAAAAAGGTGGATACCTACTCCCATAAAGATTTACTGCCTCAGAAATCCAAATGGAGTTGCTTATGAGCAACTAGTGGATTCCTGAATTCATGGAATCACGATTCCATGGCAGTACCTTTGTACTTATGCACAAATCTGTCATTTCGTGTATGTATTCAAGTAAAAGAGTTGGAAAAGTCAAATGAAAAGATATTTTTATGAAAGTTATAATTAGGACTAGATTATGGATTTCTCAATAACTTTATTTCATTCTGTAAAATAACATGAGGCTACAACTGTCCTCTTTGGGCTACAAATGGAAGGAGAATCCAGCTCCTCACCAGCACAAGGTCTGTTGCATGAGGCAAAGGTCAGACACGGCCCCACCCTCCATTCTTCCTTCCCCTATCTGACCCGTCATTCTTCCCATAGCACTCCACTTTACTACTGGTTTCAATACTCAGCTCTAATGGCCACACAAAACTCAGAGAATAATGACAATTAAGGGGCTTTATTAGGAAAGTTAACAGATTGCCACAAACCAAGATCAGAAACTACTAAGCATATAGTCATTGTTCCACAGTAAAACCTCCCTTCAGCCAGCAGCCAAGTATCTCTCTAGTCCTCTGCTTCTCAGTCAGGTGGTCTCTTGGTCTCTGCCTCTGAGAACCAGGAAACCAGCCTGCTGCTCTGTCTCAGTTTTAGCACTGTTCCCTGTTCTGCCTCATGGTCTCCGCCTCAGCCTTTGGTGCTTCTGGTCTCATCATCTGCCATTTCAGACAGAAATCTTGAATGTGTTCCACCATTAGCTCGTTTTCCTAGTTGGTCCCAGGATTTCTCTTTGTTCTGGCTTTTGAAATGGCTCACCCTTATAACCAGGGGTCTAGCTAACAAATTCCTTCAGGAAAGTAAAAGGAAATAGAGTAAAGAATTAGAAGGCAAAAGACATTTATAGAGGTATAAACAAAGGCATTTACATATGTAAATATATTAATATATAATGATAGGGATATAGGTCTATGTGGATATATTTATAGGTTAAGTAGTAAGGTAACAGATGGACATTGGGCCTCTACTCAAGTCCTCCCTCAACACAAGAACACTTTGTTCTAATAACCTGGCATACTCTGTGATGCTAACCTTCCTGACACAATTGCTGAGGACAAAATAGGTGCATAAGCTAATGTGGTAAAGAAAGCTGATGGTGTCCAGCTATTTCAAGATATAGAGTCTGGGGTCAAAAAGGCTTGAAGTTAAACAAGCGGCCATCTAGCAGGGAAGCAACAAAGCCCACATAGAAGCACACCAACCCATGTGATCCCGAGGTGTTAACGGGATCAGGTATCAGAAGGCTCAAAACAAACCACCATTTCTATAGGAATGAGAGGGGTTGGAATGGAGACCCAAAGCCCATCTGTTGACAATTGGACATCCCCTCACAAAAGGGTCACAAGGAAGGGACTAGCCAATCAGAGTGCATTATAGCACTGACAAAACACACAACATTCCTCTAGTTCTTTAATGCTTCTTCCACCCCCCTCCTACCTCATCATGACCCTAATTCTACCTTACAAATCCAGTTAGACCAGAGCATGTACACTGGTACTTATAAGAGCTCTCGACACATGGAATCCAAGATAGATAAATCCCTCAGAATTAATAATGAGCGTAGCAATACCATGAGGCAAGGTGGTTGGAGAAGAGGGAGTAAAGGGGGGAAAGGGATAGCAATAATCAACATATAACCCTTCCCCCAGGGGGTCAAACAACAGAAATGTGGGTAAAGGGAGACAGTGGATGGTATAAAATATGAAAATGAAAATAATTTAGGGTTCACGAGGGTGGGAGGGTGGGGGAGGGAGAAGAAAAAAGAGGAGCTGCTACCAAAGGCTCAAGTAGAAAAAAAATGTTTTGGAAATGATAATGGCAATGTATGTAAAAATGTGCTTGGCACAATTGATGTATGAATTGTGATAAGAGATATAAGAGCCCCCAATAAAATGATTTATTAAAAAGAAGAAAAGAAATTACACTTTACTACCAAGCTTAATGCAACATACATGTAATATATTTATTATTTAAGTATATTTTTGAAACATTAAACCATTACAAAGTTCATGAGAAATGACAGAGGATAACACTAATGTAGTGAACATGCAAGAATTTCTTGCTAGTGATGGCTGAAGAACATTTAATTAAATATAATAAGGAATAAAGAGTGACAATATTTAATAAAGATTCAAGTTGCTTACCTTAGTAAAGTTATTCAAGTGGCCTAGCTTTCTCATATTTGAAACTCCTTGCAATTTGGCCACATTTTGGAGAATCTCTCTTAAGTTATCAGACGGTTCTAAAACAAGAAACAGCACAAATTAAGGTAGTTTTAACATAGTATTTTCCTAGCCAAACAGTCCATATGAAATTGTCACAACTTTTTGGCTCCAGGTTCAAAGTCTTACTCTCTAACCCAAATCTCCTTCGGTGACACTGTGGCCAACCTAGCCAATGGCCTTCACAGCTGTACTCCACCCCAGAGCAAGGCTTCCAATGGTTCCATTCTAGTTTGACCATATGTGGAGAATTTCGATTTCCACTCAAGGCTTCAAATTGGCTAAAAAGGATAGTTGTGACCAGCTACACAGTGCACAGTAACTGAGGATTTTGCATGTGGAATTTTTTGGGATGATTTGTTTTTACTTTGCATTTCATGTATTATCCAGATTCACATTCTCACAGGATCAGCAATTAACAATAACCACCTAGTCTCCCAAGTCTGAAAACATCAAGGCAGTTCCAGGTGCACCAGAGGGTCTGCTCACAGAACAAAATAAAATTGCATAATAATTCCTTCATCCCATTTCTTAAAGTAACACCTCACACATACACACACACACACACACACACACACACAAAGATGCTTATGGCTGAAGAACACAGAAACCCTTTTTCTCCTTTACCTCAAACTAAACATTAAAACTCATCTGACAGGGTGAATGTCTGTTTAAAAATTAATTGCACACACACGAAAAATTCTTCGTGATGCATAAATATTTTGTTACACAGGGTACAAAAACACTTTTTCACTTTTTGGTTGCCTGGTACTCTGGGAAGAATAAAGACTGGTGCCAAGGAGGGTGCACTGCAGTGAGGTAAAGCAACACAGCCAGGGAGGCTTCTCACAGTGGTGGGTTGTCGAGGACGCCCCCATTTGACAGGGGAAATGCTATATCCTGGTTGGGTTCTGGTTGTAGCTG